TGGAGAGCAGCGTAGTCGACTCTTTTATGGGCGCTTCCCGTATCGAAAACTTCGCCAGAAGTTTGGAAGGTTTTCCGTCGTGGAGATTTTCCATTTTCGCCATCGCAATGAGTGAAATAACTCGCGGGAGAATTCAAGCGTTTTATGTATGTCCCGGTTCCATGTTTTTCGCCAACGCCAACAAATTTTTTCAAATCTGGATCAATCCCCACATCCTCTTCTTTCAGATTATAGATCACCAGGTTTCCAACGGACTGGTTTCTTACAGCATTTACCCTCGTTCCTAAATTTTGTTCGAACACGATGTTAAGTTGTTTTTCCAAAAAGATCAAGAGTGTAATACACTGCTGGCAATTTTCCAGATTTTGATCTTCCGATAGCTCCACTTTCAATCAACGTAACTGTCCCTGGGTTTTTCAAATTACACCAAGAATCGTAAAGAGAGAAGGAAGAAGCCTGATAAAGGTTGGTTTCTCCAACGGTTGTTCAATCTTAACGTTGTGGTCACTGGAGGGCGAAACAATCTCATCATGAGCACAACTATTCTGCGTGTATATGTCTGACTGGATTTGCTCAAACATGGCTGTACAAATCTCTCTCATGTACTCTTACTGAGTCTTGTGGTGGAGCATGTTTTTTCATTGTCACCTTTTATTTATTTATTTTCTACAGAATTTTTCAATACTGAATACGCTGAAGTAGATAGACTCTCATGTTTCTCACTGGCTATTAACCTACCCCTCCCTACCCGAAACAAAGATTTTCATAACTTCCCATAATTTTCTCTATATGTCAGTTTGAGATCAGTGCGCGTATCAGAGTGCCCTGAGTTTTGAAAATTTCCCATATCAGCTGATGCAGACCAAAAACGTGAAAAAGCTAGTGCCGGCGGTTGATTTTGGACACAACGTTGGTGGGCTGTTTGACCAGGAGCAAAAAATATATGTCACGCTCACAGAGTATTCACCACGAAGTACAGAGCAATTTTCACAAACACGAAAATCAGGTACACGACAGGGAAAGAGGCAAGAACATGGCTGGGAGGGCCAAACATGAGATATTGGCCCCAAAAGTCGAATTTTGCACTTTGATGTGCGACCAGGGGCTGTCGTATTTCACGAAAAATTTTGCTCGACATGCAGCTGACCTCCCAGCTACGATCCTTTTTCCGGTTTCACGTGTAGTTCACAACATGAAGAATTCTGTTCGAGATGGGGGGCATCCAAAGCGTGAGCGCATTGCCCTGGGAACTGATGTTCGGCTAGACAAACAAAAAATATGACATTCCTTCGTACTACGGTCTGGGAAATGTTTTCATAAATGTTTCCAGATATGGCCTTAGATCCACAGGCATGGGGTATCCTAGCTCTCACGCCGAGATTGCCGACGAAGGTGGGGGAGCCGGTCATGGAAACCTCGTCGCTTTTATCAGAAATGACGGAAACACAGACCATCAGTTTGACTACTTTGTTCCCCACAAGGTAAGCGGGCTCACACAGGCAGGGCTGTTAAGTTTAAATCGGTTAATCGAGCCCTTCGTGCACTGTGTTCTCGGGGCCCAGGTTAACGTGGTCTGTAGCATTCTCGGTGATGGAGGCCGAGCGATAGAAGCGCAGAGTGAGTTTCTCGAGTTGTTGGAGGATGCCGTCAGGCAGCATGACCTGGCCGAGAGCGTGCATCGATACCAGCTGACTATAGACAAAGCAAAAGGTGCCCCTTAACTTTTAGGTGCTACCCGCGGCATGGCTGATAAATACAGAAAGAGTAGTTGGCTAAAACAACAAACTCTTGCAGGCAACACCAAACATGAAGCTCGGGGTGGACAACGACGTGAACACAGATATAAAAAGTGGGGCTGCGCCTAATGGACGGCGGTCCTTAAAAAATTAACCTGCAAACAGTCACCCACCAAAAACATTTCACAAGGGAGAGCAATATCAGAGCCGCCTACCACTCCAACCCTCTCCTCGCCACCTGACCCAGCCCCAGCGTTCCCGAGTTATGACGTAAACAAGGCGCTGATCGTTATGGGAGCAGTTCTTTTGACTGGTCTGTTTGTTTGTAAGCGTTAACGATTGCGCTTGAGGAACCGTTCCGTCAGAAAGGAGATCACGGCAAGAATTGTGAGCCAAGTGTGTTCTGCCTTGAAAATGAAGCTTACAATCGCGCAGGTGAGCCCTAGTTTTTTGCTCATTGTCTGTAGCCCTTTGCCGATGCCCTTGTCCACCTTTTTCAGAGCGTTGAACAATGCACCAATCGCGGCGCCGAAAGTGACTCCAGTGGCAAGGAGGGTGAAGCCATAATTTTTAAAGATCTCTAAAACTTGTTCACGTAGCGGAAGCGCCTCCCGAAGCTTTCGTTTTGTTCTTCAAGATCCGCCACGTTTTCGTCTCTCTTCTACTTTTTCACGCGCTCTCTCCCTTATTTCCCGTTGTTCATTTTCATTGTTTGCAATTTCTTGATTTACCTCGATTTGGTCATTGCGCCTGTCGATTTCCTCTTGATTTTTGGTCATAAAGCTCTTGTTTTGTCTGACCGAGAGCGTCTTTGACAAACTTTAGAAGCTTTTTCTTTCGGATATATTTTTATTGAAAATCTGAGATTCGCCGCCCTTGGGCCAATGGCAACGATTTTGGGGAGTATTTACTCTTGGAAATTTGAAGATCTAGCTCGGTCGCCCCTTCTGAGTCAAACAAGGTTAAAGCCTTGAATGTACCTTTCAAGCGTAACAAGACTTCACGAACACAGACTGCGCTATCAAACTCTACAACCGCACGCACAAAAATGCGCCACTCACAGCCCCCGGCGAACCAAAGTTCTCTGCTTTCTACCAGACCGTTTCTCTGAAAAACCAGGTCGAGTTAATACTCCAAGCCCTTTGGCAAATATATCTTCCAAAACACATTCCTCTCCCCAAATTCGATGTTTTCACGCCAAACACCAAGCAGACCCTCTTTTTCTTCTACACGACACTGTGGGGCATGGTGGGGCCGAAAAAGCGTGTGACACCACAACGCTGTCGAAATGCGGCTGCCCGAGGGCCAAAGATCTTCCGAATGGGTCGTTTGGCTTCCTGCTGTGGTCTCTTCTCTGAACGGCGAAGTCACTCGCTCACGTGCAAAAATCCGCTGCGGTCATCAAAGAAAAGGCCGTTTATTCCAAGCCCTCCACCCCTCATCACAGATCTTTTCGCCTGTGCGAGACATGACTCCCCTCCGCGGCGGTTGTGTGCTATCTTTACCAGCCCGGCGAGCTTGAGGACGAAAGCAAAAGAAGCCACAGATCCGATCTGGCCTTTTAAAGTGTACCACATCGTAAAAACCATCAGCAAACCCGATGAACCGATTTTGGATTATTTGCACCACGGCCCCAAACGGGGCTTCGTTTGCGAGGAGCTTCTTGTCGTGCCTACTGACACCGAGCTGCCGCCTCTTCACAGATGATATTCGATCGGCTCCGTGTGGATGCCGTCTTGGCAGGACCTATTATTTGTCGTAGTAGGCGTTCAGCGCTAGTGTTTTTTGCTGAGAGGTGCACATCGCCACTTCGTTCATTCTCACTCCTCCGTTTGTGGCTGGCGGTGTCTACGACCCCCTCCAGCGCGGCTTTGAACCGCTCCCAGCGCATTTTGTTTTGGCGCTTTAAGCTCCCCTTCGGGGACACTTTCACCTTTCTTTTCTCTTCCTCCATGAAATAACACTTGCTGCACAGCGCGATTCCGCAAATGTCCTCGAACTCCAGCATGAAAAGTCCCGGCTCTTGCGCGTTCCGTTCTTTTTTGCAGGCTCGGAACTCTTTCGCCATGGCGGGGAAAACCGCCTCTTCCAGGGAATCTCACGACAGCCAGAGGTCGAGGCTATCGGTGTCTATCTGGATCAGCTCGTAATTGCGCTTGTCGAGGAACTTTTCCAGTCATATTAGAGAGCTTAAGCAGTGGACGTTCTTGAGCTCACGGACCTCAGGAAGGTTGCGCACGGTCTGGATCGAGTACGGCGTTTGTGGCACGAAAAGTGAAGATTAAGCAATGAATGGTTTTTGGTATATTAAGCGCGATTAGAATGTCTTCACTCATAGCGTTTCGAATTTCAGAAAGATCTTTGTCACTGAAGAGGACTTGTACATTTTCTTTGCCCCATTTTCATACGCACATTTCATCTTTCACATTTATTCGCCAAGATTGAAATGCCGTCGTATACTATTTGATTGTATAGACACAAATCAAGCAAACAAAAATTACCATACATGATAGCGAAGTTTAACGGTCCATTATATTTGCAGTTACATTAACCACAAATGAGATTTAGTTTGACATTCATTTTCAATTGTCGATTGCACTAAGTATCACAGGCGATGATTATTCGCATGGACAAGAAATGGAGTAAATCGTACGTAAATCCCATAAATTTTGTCACCTTCTAGTAGAGCTTGCCAGGTGAACCTGTCCAGTCCAAAAATAGAGTTGGAGACTGTTCGTCTGATGTTTACATCTCTGAAAATGCCGAATGAATAGCAGAAGAGTTTTCGTTGGTTTTAGGCCAACAATTTAACCACAATATCGGAAATTCCCAAATAATTCTTACCCAAACGCGAACTTTCGAGTACTAGAATCTCGCGTTCTTTCTTGAACTTCAAAAGTGGCGTTCTGGAGTCGGTGACCCAACCTCACGGACGTAAACACATGCGCAGTATATTCACACTGGCGCAAGTGGCTTCCAATCGGCGTTCGTGACCTCAGGAATGTCTGCTGTTTAAACTCTCTAGTAAAACTGCAGGACCGGAGCTTGGCCATCTGGTAGACAGCAATCCCCACCTAGGAGGGCCTGTCGATTTTGACTTGACAGTTTCGGGTCTCGGATTTCGTACACGTCGCCGATCTCCTCCAAATCTTGAAACCACACCGAGCGCAGCTGTTTCCTCAAGACGCTTTCGTTTGTTGTGTACTCCACGGTCGTTTGCCATTCCAGTGCTTCTATCGTCTTGCCATACTAGGTGTTTCAAAAAGCTTGAACACGTCGGCCAGCAGAGCCTGTTCTGGATTTTGATCTCTCTTACGCCGGTTCTCCATGACTTTGTTCACGAACCACGTGAAGATCTTTAGCGGAACATAGTCAATGGTTCGGGGGAAACGCTGTGATTTGTAAACCATGGTCGAGGTACTTACTTAAGCAGCGGCGAGTACATCAGGATTTTTGGTGCTTAAAGGGCGCCAACCAGCCTTCTTTGGTCGTGCATGGGCTTGAGCGTGCTGCGCACCAAGTAGTCTTTAGGGACTTTAAGATCCAACGACGCAACGGCGATGAGAACGTCGCTTAAAAAGTGAATTTGCGTTTTTTCAGTCTATATCGCAATTATTCTTACTGAGTTGCTTTGTCAAATGTAGACGAACCCTCCTGGAGTTGTTACAATTATTGTAACGACATAGTATCACGATGGTCAAGATACCTGTTTTCTTTATTGTGAATCTTAGAAGTACATTGCGCACATTGTGACGTCATAATTACATAATTTATGACACTCTCCCGGGCCGATTAGCTAAGAAATAATATGGAATGATTAGCAAAGGATAAAAGTTTAAGAATAGTATCGTAATGAATCTGATATCGTTCATGTCAAGTATTCATTTGTGATTGTTCACGGATTCTATGAATTGCCTTCTGAGCGGCAAGTCGTAGTGGGAAACGTAGTTTATTGGCTATAGCTTCTTTGTCTTCCTTCTCAATACCTTGTGCATTGTTCTCGCTCGACACTTCTAATGGATAAAGCTTCTCTATGGGTCTTAATAGTTCACTACCAGAACTTATTCTTAAAGATACAGATCTGACTAATCCGTCTTTCCCTTTATGTAAATCAGTAACAACACCTATTTTCCACTGATTACGTGGTACATTATCATGTATGAGAACAACATCTCCTATAGCAACTACTGTCTTGAGCTGTCTTGTTTGATGCTTTCTTTTGATAAGAGTTATATTCACGCAGGCTTGTCAGATATTCCTTTAGCCATCGTGTCCAGAAGGCTTGTATCACTATCTCGTGATACTTTGCTCTCTTCTTTAGCTCTTTTATTGAAACATCAGTTGGGATATAGTCTGGGTCTGATTTTTTGACGCTAACTCTTGTGTCTGGTAATGTCAGAAGACGGTGTCCACATAAGAAATGTGATGGACTGTGATTCCATGTAAGCGTTGGTCAAATTTTGGGTTTAGCCAAAACGCTCTTTTAATAGCTCAGTTGCCTTTCTATAATTTTCTTCAGTCAATGGCAGCCCGGAGATAGCGCGCGCTGCTTCTCCTTTAAGCATTCCATTTAGATAATTCATTTTTTCAACATCACTTAGTTCGAGATTTTTATCAATAGCTGCACTAAAGCTATCCCAGAATGTGAGCCATGCAAGTGGATCTCCTTCAAAGGATTTGATGTTTATCTTGGGTAAATTGATATGTATTCGAGGTGTTGGTGCTTGTTTGAAACTACTATGATGGAACTGACTCACCGGTGTTTCTTGTTTATTCTTTAGAAATTGTTTAATTTTGAATTGCTAGTCCGATATATTGTCTTCAAAGACATCACAATTTTAGCATCCATCTGCGCTATTTCCCCAGCTCTTCGTGTGAGTCTGTCCACGAGTGCCTCCAATTCAACGTGATCTGAACTCTTTGAAGTTATGAGTTTTTCTGCCTTTTTAAAATCTTGTGAACAGTGTCCTTTGTAGGCTGCTCGGATCGATTTCATTTTGCTTATATCCTCTGTCATTTTCGCCTGGTCTCGGCACCAATGTTACAATTATTGTAACGACATAGTATCACGATGGTCGAGATACCGCTTTTGTTTATTGTGAATCTTAGAAGTACATTGCGCACATTGTGACGTCATAATTACATAATTTATGACAGGAGTTGAATTCCTGGGCACCATATCCAAGTACAGTAAGAGAAATAAAGTTTCGTCGTTGCTTGTTTACGTCCTCCATAAAACGCGAAATTAGGCATGTTCACGTCGTAGTCGTGCAAAAACGGCCAGAGAAATGTACAAAAAAGCATGATGCACGTGCAAAGTTGTTGTTTTGCTAATCAAAGCTATTGTTTTTTTGACGTTCTCGTTACCGTCCGCGTCGTTGGATCTTAAAGTCCCTTTTCATATGCTGCGGCACTGCCTCGCTTGCGACGGGTTTGGTATAAAATAGCGGCGGCATTTCCTCGAACTTCTCCCACAACTCTCTGGGAACCCCGATGTCCAACTCGGCGAAGGCAAACTGTCTCTCTGCAGAACGTCGATGAACTTTTCGACGTTCCCCGGCGTTTGTGGCCATGACCCAACGACCTCCTTGGCACAGGGCATTGCACACTACATTGCGTTTGGGTACAGCGCGTTGGCGTCGTAACCCAGAACTCTTCGACTCTTCGACACATCTTCGCGTCTTGGAATTTGCGAACAGATTCTCGTTTTGCCCGCCTGATGCTTTCGACAGAAGACCAAGCTCGCCCACGCCCCCCACCCGACAACCGCTCCTTTCAGCATTTCGTAGTCCCCCTCACCTGGGGCGTACAACTCCGGGGCGTCTCTCTTGGCCTGCACACCGCGTCTTTGAAAAGGTAAATTTCCAGCCCCGTGTACTGCATCTGTCGTGTCAACCATCTCCTTCCTTTTTTATGTCTTTTCGGAAGTGACCAAGGCCTCCCTACCTTCTGGAGAACACTCTGGACAGCCATGGAACTATAACACCGCGTTTGTTTTTACCGTGGCCACACATTTTGTGATGGATATAAACACCCTTCCGTTGGACCTCGTGCTCCATTCAGCTTACCGCCATTCCCGCATACGCCTTCTTCCCCTAAATCGCTTTTTCATGCGCGGCCTCCAGCGGATAGACTCGGTCTCCTCGGCACACCAGCTTTGTCACTCCTCTCGTATAAACGTCTGCATGCTTCCACAGATTATATGTTTTGGTAAAACTTGCTTGACATTCGGCACACGCGTTGTGGTTCGACACTTTGTCAAGATTTGTTATCAAGAAAGCGTGCTCTTCTTATATGCCGATGTTCATTCGGGGCACCCGAATGTATCATGTATTTCAACGAAAAGGTACCTTCGTCGTCAACCTCATTGTAGCCGCTAATAATCTGGCACACGCTACTTGAATTTGAATCCCTTTATAACAATTTCGCCGTAAGACACTGCGTTACAGCGGGGAAATGCAACGCAATGAACAAGTTCTGAAAGTACATCAAACGCAGATACACAATGTAAGCAAACCGAAGTAGTAATGAAATCTGGGTCGATCTGAAAGCAAAAGAGAATCCGCTGAAAATGGAACGGGATACGGGTTCGGCTGAGTCGATCATTCAACATGAATTGTACGGGAAGAAATTTAACGACAGACCCTTGTATAAAACTGAGCTCATGTTGTTAACCTACACGGGGAAAACATTATTCTAGTCGGAGTGTTTAAGGCAAATGTCGACTACAAAGATAAGCCACCTTAACTGTTGGATCTGTATGTGGTTAAGAATAAGGGTCCTGTGTTGATGAAAGGGACTGGCTCTACAAGATACGCCTCTATTGGTATGCTATTAAATCACTGGAAGTTTCACAAGCCCCACCAATTGCTAGAGAGCGCCAGCAGAACATGCAAGACAAATACGCTGATGTTTTTGAAGACAAACTTGGAACATTCAAAACAGCTAAGGCAAACTACCTTTCAAAGAAGATAGCCAAGCTCATTTCTGCAAAGCTAGTGCTGTGCCTTGTGCCTTGAGACCTACGGTTTAAGAAGAACTGGGAAGACTTCAGAATGAAGGTATTCTCACGAACGTTGAGTGGAGTGATTGGGCAACGCCCATTGTACCTGCCCCAAAGAAAGATGGATCTTTCAGGATCTGTGGTGATTACAAAGGCGCGGTGAACCCAGAACAACAAGCTGAGCAGTATCCCTTGCCCCGCAGTGAAGATATCTTTGCAAAGCTTGCCCGGGCAGAATTTCTCACAGATTGACCTTCGTCAGGCATACCACAAACTAGAGATGGCGGAAGATTCCAAGAAATACCTCACTATCAACACGCACATGGGTCTGTTTTAGCACAACAGACTTGGTATTCGGCATCACATCAGCACCTTCTATCTGGCAGCGCACCATTAGTCAAGTGCTGGAAGGAACATCTTGCACAAGCTGGCAAGGATAATGAAGAACCCATGGCTAACTTAGAAAAGTCCTGCGACGGCTTTCGCTTCATGGGTTGAGAGCAAAACAAGGCAAAATTTAAGTTTTCATGGAGAAGATAATTCATTTTGGACATGACATGACATTGACAAGGATTGACAAGGGCAGCAGAGAAAGTAGAAGCGGAATTGAAAGCACCACGTCCAAACGACGTAGCTGAAGTGAGATCTTTTCTTGGGCTTATCAATAACTACCACAGGTTCTTGCCTAACCCGTCGACAGCAGTACATCCCTTGATCCAACTTTTGGAGAAGAATCATCAGTGGAAATGGAAAGAACAGTGCGAGGCAGCATTCTACAAAGTGAAAGAAATGATCACTTCAGAGCAAGTTCTAACACATTACAGGAGCCCATCACTAGAAGCCTCTATCTCCCCTGATTTCTTGAGTCGACCCTTTACCGAGTAGATTTAAAAATTCCGCGAAAAGTGTCATATTTCCGCGAATCTCGTATGTCACCGTGAAAAAATATAGTTGGACGAAGTCTAAATCAGAAGCCCGTCGTTCGACCGTTTTTCCTTTTTTACGATGTTACAGCCGATGGAATCTGGGTATCATGAAATACCAGGCTCAGCATGAAAAGATGGGATGATAGGAGCGAAATGAGGATCACTGAAAGGTTATCTTTGCGAATGGTTTTGATTTTTAACGTCATACATTCCCCATGTAAGCATCCACTTTGAAAAGAGTCGACGATTAAACGTACTGTGGACGATTTGGAACTGTATGACGGTCGGCGCAGAAAAAGTGCCAGTATCACTGGATTTTTGTCATCATCGGGGAGCTTTAGTTTAAGCTACAATTCTTTCCTTAAAATCCAAATCTGTAGATCACTTTTCGTGAGAAAAAAATGTTAAAGAGCTCGGCGCCGGGTTACAAATCATACGGAATCATCACACTGACGGACAAAACAGATAAACGCATTTCGGAAACAACCTTGAAAAAAAAACCTTGAGAAATATAGAGGGTCATTTAGCCGAAATAAAAGCCTTAACGCTTAAGAAAATTGGCTAAAGAAAACGGTGCTAGAATCGAATCCTGTCAGAACTACAAACAATAACCTGCAAGAAATAATGCATCAGTATGCATGGAACAGACCAGCTTGATAGCCTCTTAATGTGAGACAAGCAGCCAAAATTAAGATCTACACGGTCAGAGTTTAAAATTCTCCGCAGTGGACACTGCCGTCGCGACGAGCAAAATGAGCACTGTGGCGACTTTCTCGGTTGTAAGGTCTTCAGTTGTTTCCCTCAGTGTACATGTATTTCTGTAAGTTGTCAAAGAAAAAGGAAGCGACCAGCGGCAGTTTCAGTTTAAATTTGCCGTATTAAATAAATTCTACTGACTTGGCAAAATATAATGCAGAGCAAAGCTAGTCTTCAGATCGACTTTTAAGTACAGTGGAGTTAAGTAAAAATAGTGAAGATTCATTAAGATGGATTGTTTGGCTCGGAGTTGCATTTTATCATCGATCAATGCAGAAAAGAGTAGTTACTAAGGGCGTAAAATTAACTTTTTGTAAGAGCCTATTTTAATTGACCCGCGAAACAGTTAATAACAACTAGGGTAAAAAAGCTACAAATAAACAAAAGAAGATAATAGAATTAGTGCATAATAGTGAGTAGTATTCTTATGTACTTACTAGTTCACGGGTTAAGTAAAATCACTCTATTTCAAAGTCGTGGCCTGTTCAACAAAAAAAACAAAAGCAAGCGAAGAAACAAGAACAAAAACAAACGGTTTGCTAAATATTACTGAACAGCTGAAACAGCTCGAGACCGTCCAAAAGTACGAATTTTTACTCTAAATGATTGGAGTGAACAAAGGGGATCCCTACAACGTATCTACTTAAAAACCAACATGGCGTTTACCAAAAATGTTTCCTAGTAAGACTAGTAAAGTATGTGCCAGTTTTGCATGCCAATCGCGGCAACAGACATTGAGGTGCAGTTTCGCGTCCTTTTATCTCGCGATTTTCACCCAAATTCTTGTTAAGCCCCTTCTAAGGTCCTGTTTTCAAGGAGGGAGGGTTACCCTCGTAAACGCTCAGCTAGGGATAACTCGCCTACCCGCGTTAACTTTCCGCCGTCATTCGTGACCAGTATTCGTGCCAATTTGAACGGTATTATCCAATTTCTGAGCTTAATTATAAACATCTGAAAAATAAAACGTTGTCTACGATGATAATATTGTCCCTTTTTTCGTGAATTTGACGTGTTTTCCTCAAAGAACTTCAATATTATTTCAAATTTTGGACCGTTACAAAAAATGTCACGTATGACGAAACGCGTCAGTAAAGCTGGTAAAGTTGCCCCGGGTGAAGTGATAGGGTAACCTTACCTGTGAAAGTTGCTTGTAAACCAGAGCTAACTTTAACCCCCTTGCTAGGGTAACCCTCTGTCCTTGTAAACAGGCTTTAAGGCCCCGTTTACAAGGAGGGAAGGTAACCCTGGTGCTAGGGATTACCCTAGCGCTAGGGTAACCCCACCTGAGTGCTGGGTTGCCCTAGCAAGAGGGTTACCCTCCCTGCCTTGTAAACGCTCAGCTAGGGATAACTCGCCAACCCGGGTCAACTTTCCGCCGTCATGCGTGAACATTAATCGTGCCAATTTGAACGGTTTTAACCGATTTCTGGGCTTAATTATAGAAATCTGAAAAATGAAAAGTTATGTTCTGTCTACGATGATAATATTTTCCCCTTTTTCCGTGAATTTAACGTGTTTTCTAAAGAGAACTTCAAGATTATTTCAAATTTTGGACCGTTACAAAAAATGTCACGCATGACGAAACACGTCAGCAAAGCTTGTAAAGTAGACCCGGGTGATAGGGAAACCCTACCTGTGAAATTTGCTTGTAAACCAGAGCTAACTTTAACCCGCTTGCTAGGGTAACCCTCTTTAATTGTAAACAGGCCCTAAGTTTGAAAAATCATAGTTCTCTGGCAGGCGGTATTTCTATTTCTCGCGACCTACGCTGCTTCGCCGCCAAATCTCACGCAGCTGCTACACCATACCGCCAGCTGCGCAGGCTACGGATTACGGTTATTACTATTTTATCCAGACAAGCTGTTGTAGCCCCATCTCTTGCTATTTCCATGTTTGTATGTTTGTTTGCTTTCAGGTGCTGTGTCTTGCTATTGCTGTGAACGTTATTCAGTCAGAATTCCTAAGATAAAAAAGCCAATTCCAGTTACTGGTGATGAACAGGAGACTTGTACTCCGCTTACAGATGCAGATTACGGCGACTGGAGGATGAAAAAAGCTGAATCAGAAACTGACTATTGATAAGAATTGACAGAAACACAGTGAAATGCGCTCTTTTTCTGGACCAGTAGCCTATAAAAGGCTCCTGTCTGGACTTTATTTACGGTAGCTGCCATCTAATGCGCAGCAACCTTGTGCGGCAAATATCAACCTCGATCCTGGGCAACCTCGTCCCCAGGGTCTTCTCGCTTTCCAATATGGCGGCGGCAGGAGAGAAGACCCTGGCACACAGCGAAGTAAAACGATCGCTGATTGGTGCATTCCAATACGCGTTCATACGCGCGCTCTCATTGGTTCATTCCTTCCAAAACAAAGATGGTTACCCTTTGATGGCTTCGTAGAGGCTTAGAAGTGCTTTCTTCAGTGTTTGAGACCCAAAAGGTGGACAGAATTCAGATCTGACTGTTCGGAAAACTGTGACTGTACCGTTGGAAGGCAAAGATTCGAATATAGTGATATCTGAAATGGTAATCGCTGGGAATATTACAACGCGTAGAGGTATTTCTGTTGCTCCAGGGGCACCCAACGAGTATATAGTTCAAAACCACGTAACATAGCATTGTTCAACGTATTTTAGTATTCAAACGGTAGATAGGCATATTTTTATCCCCTAAAAACTTTCCATCTTTTCGGATTTCCTAGCTGAAAGCCTAGTGATCCGAAAATTATAGGGATAAAAACTTACCTTCTCGAAAATTTCAGCCAGGAAAAGGCTCCCGAAAATTCTAGGTGGCCTTTTTTAGGGTCAAAATCCGTTAAAAATGGGTAATTATACCATTTTGTGGATGTTCTAAAATCCTAGGAGCGGCAGGCAAGCAAGAAATTTTACAACAAATGCTCCGAAAATTCTAGATCTCAAATCGTCTTCCGAACAGATATTTTCCCGAGAATTGCCGTTGGGTGCCCCTGTTGCTCGTGCTATTTGGTTTTTGTGTTCTAAATTACTAAAGATTTGCTTCTTTAATTCCCGATTTGTCAAAGAATACATGCAAGGCTTCAGCTTATCAATAAATTTAGCTGTCCGTTTGCAAAGGTTTACTGTTGTTCTGCTTTTTGTTTTCTTTGAACAAAAGCTGTATGCATAATATTATTGATGTATGGGGTTATACGGAAATCTTGCATAATCTGCGCTTTGTCTCAGCAGTTTTTTTGTCTAGTGAAGCATTTTTTTTCATTTGATCGTAACATGCATGGGCCTAACCTGGCCTTCTTTTAATTTTTTCCACTGTGATTTTGAAGGGGGGTGAGCAGCGACAGAGGCAGATGTCGAAACAAAACTAAAAATTGAAGCCAAACATAGTGTCGCTATCCTTTGATATTTTTAATCCTGACTTTTCATTTATTCAGTTTTTATTGTCACAATAATGATAATTTATTATTATTTGCTCATTTCAGTGGCAGTAAAATACAGCTAAATACAGAGACATTGGGAAAATAAACTGTTTCCTTTTCTCAGAAATGAAAAACTTGCATATTAATGTATATTTGAAGCTTGAGGGATTTCTTTCTAGTTGCAAAAATAAAATAATGAAAGCACATGATGTCTTTTATTCTATCAAGTTGAAAACAGTGATCAGCCCATGCAAGGAAATCTGACAGTCTTGGATTCTCAATTCTGCACCATGGATACTGCATTCTGGATTCTTTGTCAGTGGAACTTGGATTCCAGATTCCAGTTATAAGTGGGATGCAGAATACTTGCCCTTTATTCCAGATTCCACGAGAAAAATTTCCCAGATTCCAGATTCCCTTACATGGGGTGACAGTGACCCTAAGATAAATACGTTTTCTGTCAAACTAAAACCTGTCAATTGAGCTTCTAATTACTGTAGGCTAAGTGTGCATGTTGTTCTTGTCACTATATGCTTGAAAAGGGGGTTTGTGGACCAGGTGAAATAGTGGCTGGTACTGTACTATTCCAAAACCAACTGGGCATGATTATGAAACAGCTATAATTCAGTTCTAAAACTTGGATTTACAAAAATAAACTGCTTCAAAGGGTGCATATATCACTATCCACTGAATAAACAAGAGCGGAAAGGGCCTGCAGTGTCTTGATCATGGGATTTTTCATGTAGGGATGCCAAAGCTTTTGAAAAGTTTTGCGCCAGAGTCCCCACTAGCATAGTGAGCTTTTATTTGCCTAGTCACGACTAATGAGTTTCGGGTCACGTGGTCCCAAGCAAAATTGTGAAACAATTTCCCTCCAGTTTGCCTAAGATAAGTCACTGAAATGAATTGACCAAGAAGGCTTGAGAAAATACCACACAGGGAAAAGGCAAGGCTTTTAGCTTGTTTAGGTGTTGGGCTGTGAGGTTGCAGCTGTTAGATGTGCTGGCTTAAATACTTCCAAAGTCTACTTTAAGGTGTTGGTTAGTCTTAGTCATAGTGTCTATATCATAATTATATCATCAGAAATAATCAGATTAACACAACTATTAAACTGATAATCGATTATAGTAGATTATAGTTTTGTGCCCCCTGTGCGCCATTTTCAACACTGAAAATAATTTTGTAAGTGAACAAAACAAAAAACCTACCCCGCAAGCAGAGGCTTATCTGTCACATAGTTAAACCAACTAAACATCATATAAACTACATTAAGAGCCCATCAAAAAGACAACACAGGTGTATTAATGTCCTTATTAGTCAACAATGTTTTTGTGAATTTTCCACAACAATCAACTGAACATTTGTATAAGCAATACTCACTTTGCTTTAGGTTTCTGATCAATGATAGATTATGATCGATAATCAGCACACCACTACCAGGTCATGTCTCGATTTAATAAGAGTACGAAAGGGCCCATCTGACAAGTAAAGCGTGTTTGACTTAAAAGATCTATTATCTCCAAATGAGATAGGAACTTTTACAGTGCACATGACTCAGATAGGACTATCAAATTTTTGAACAACTGGAGTCTAGCCTTTAGTCAATTTGCACATTGGCATGGCAAAGTGCAGCCCCAAGTAATATGTAAAATAAACCAAAGTCAGGGAGTAAGAAAGTTTTTGCTCTAAAAATCGAATCTATTTCAAAGTGGAGAATACTTTTGGATTGCTATATTACAAACAATGGAAACACTCTTCACCTTTTGCTAGCTATTAAAGTGGGGCTAATGCCTTTCATTTTTTACATCTGAGAGGCAAAAAAAACAATAATAACAACATCTTAAATCCTCTATTAAGGCCCCCTCTCTCAAATAAGCCCTCCTTTTCATTGGAAAGTTTTAACAATAAGCCCCCGTCTCTTTTAACCCCCATCCCACATCCCCCCTTTTCTTATTCTTCATAAAAGACTGTATCAATCAATGACGACTGTAAAACTTTGTGTGGACCGATCCAGGATGGTTTATTCACCAACTGGAAGTTCGGATTTGTTTTTGATCCTCGGCTGCTTGACCTCCAACCTTCTTGTACTTCGGCTTTTTCACTTGGCATTTTTTTTGTGGGGGACTAATACCAGCGTCTTTGCTCTAGATTAAATAAGGCCCCTATCTCTATTGCCCGGAAGCATTGTGAACAGGGTTAGATATCAAAAGCTAATAAGAAAGTCTAAAAACTGTGAAGTAGATCAAGATTGACAATAATTTTATTACCTGTACCAGATCAAGTGACAAAATATCCAAACTGAACAAGGACCTGTTTAATTTTCAACCAAAGTTCCCTCAAATTACATTAACAAAATAGTGTTCTATGGCTCTTGTTTTCTGAAAAAAATTGTTTTTTTACATATCAGAGTTCCGTTAAAATGTGTGCAAATAGAAAAACAATAGTCAAAAACTTCATGAAGATCTGTAACAATACTGACGATAACTTATCAGCTCAAAGTGTCTGCGACTGAATTTAATGCTTAGTTGAATTTCGGAGCGGAAGAAAATTTAGAGCGTCATGACAAAAAATTCCCTGGCTTCAGAGGTCTGTTCTCGAAATTCCTAAGATCAAATAAATTGCGCTCACGGTTAAAAAAAGCTCCCCCTTTCACGAAAGAAGAAAACTGAACCTCTGGCACTCAGGGTAGGCAAAAAAAGAAAACAGTGAAGAAAGGTCAGTATCGAGAAATTAAGTTGTAGACAGTTGTTAAGTGCCGTGTACGCTAGAACGTTCAGGCTTAAAACTAAACCCAGGTCATTGAACAGAAAATAAGATCGCTATATCATTCTACCGTATTCCTGTGGCTTGTAAGTGCAATTCATTCATTTTTTTAGCTTCTTTGAGTTCGCCTCTGCCGCCATTTTGTTTGTTTTTCACCAGGTCTCAAGACCTCGTACCCAGATCCTCTCACTCTTTAGCTTGGCCGCCATTTTGAATAAATTTCCACTCTCCGTGGACAAATCAGTCACGTGATTTCTGCTGTGTGCCAGGGTCTTCTCTCCTGCCGCCGCCATATTGGAAAGCGAGAAGACCCTGGGGACGAGGTTGGATCCTGGGCTACTTTTACAAGAAGGATGGGAACGAGGTATATCGCTGATGACGTCACCTTTATTAGGCTTCTTTTCGATGTCCGTCAATTTCTATCTGTCATTCAATTTCCAGTCTGCAATCTACGGTTTGTAAATGTCATGCACAGGATGAATTCAAATTAGTGGCAAGTTCGCGCGTTAACTGAGTAAAGCAATATCAGTTTTTCTTTTTTTCAAAACGCTAAGTTTGCGAATATGAGTGTTGCTGTTGTTAATTGATTTATGATGTCTTGGAGAGGGGAGAGTCTTTTCACTTCTTTCCAAGGCATTTTCTGGATGAAATCAAGAATATAGATAAAACATCATTAGAAATACTTAATAGCCGTAGTCCAGCAGACCCAGTGGTCTACATTTAAGAGCCAGTCTCTGTAAGATCCTCATATAGAGTTTTGCCCACAAAATGGATTTCGCTCATAATCTTTCTGTAGACTTCTTTTAATAAGTATATAACAAATATGAAACTAGATTGGAGAAATTCGCTTCTGTAAATTTTTTTTAACGAATTTTCTTTCGGCGCCACATGAGGACCTGAGATGCTTGTGAAATATGCAAATTTTG